ACACTTTTATATTTATTAAATGTCTAATTGTATGTGGTGTTATATAAGATTCCATAGAGATTATATAAGATTCCTGCTCCCAGGAACATTTAAGAATAAAGTCAGGTGATTATACAAAATGGCACTTCTTCCCTAAAGCTTCACTCTTGCTAATTTTCCAAAGCAGTGGAAAGTTAATGAAAGAACTGTATCGGTTTTCCCAATTAAAATTAGTTTGCTTTCATCTCAGTCTTCTAAAACATAATTCAATTGTTTTAATTACTCAAAATCTCCTAAATCCACCCATCTCCTAAATCCTTCAACTATTCTTTGCAAAACTTTTTTTCCCCTTAAGTCATAAAAATCATTCTTCTGTTTAGTTTAGTTTAAATAATCATTACACTGATCTCCAAAGTCATGCATGACAACTTTCCAAGATTGGGACTGAGAAAGAGTTAGGTATTACCTACACTGCATGCGTTAAGTTAATGTTTTTTCTTTGTATATTATTCACTTACAGAATCCACAAGAGAAGAGGGTGGGGCCTCTTTCCAATTCAGTTTGCCTTATAGAGCTTTCTTTTTCAGCTGTAAAAGACACTGAGATACAGAAAGTATCGACACAAAAGACCTCCAAAAGTATATCCCAGAAGAAGGCAGATGTCCAAGAGGAAATTTCCAAAAAAGCCCTAATTTCTGAAGAGATCAAGACGTCAGAGGTGAAATCTCCAGAGAAGCTGGCCCTCAAGGAGGAAGCTTCAACAGTTCTGATTTCCGAAAAAGTCAAGAAATCAGAAGCGACCTCCCTGGAAAAATCCATTGTCCATGAGGAAATCACTAAAACATCACAGGCATCAGAAGAAATCAGAACTCATGCCGAGATTAAAGCATATTCTACTCAGATGAGTATACCTGATGGTCAGAAAGTGACTTTAAAAGCCAACATTGCTGGTGCCACTGATGTGAAATGGGTATTGAATGGGGTAGAGCTCAGTAACTCCGAGGAGTACAGATACGGCGTCTCAGGCAGCGACCAGACGCTGACCATCAAGCAGGCTGGTCACAAAGATGAAGGGATCCTCACCTGCATTGGCAAAACCAGCCAAGGAATCATCAAGTGTCAGTATGATCTGACCCTGAGCAAAGAACTCTCAGATGCTCCAGCCTTCATCTCCCAGCCCAGATCTCAAAATGTTAACGAAGGACAAAATGTTCTCTTTTCTTGTGAAATCAGTGGTGAGCCATCGCCTGAAATCGAATGGTTTAAAAACAACCTGCCAGTAAGTTGAGTTATGAATATATTACTGAAGAAAGCTTTAAATACTCCATCTACTCCTGAAGAGCTCAAAGAAACCCTTTTTTTCTCTTCCTTTTAGATTTCTGTTTCTTCAAATATCAGCATAAGTCGCTCCAGAAACGTATATTCCCTTGAAATCCGAAAGGCCTCAGTAAGTGACAGTGGGAAATACACAATTAAGGCCAAAAATTTCCATGGCCAGTGTTCAGCTACTGCTTCCTTAACGGTCCTTCGTAAGTATATCTTTATCATTTTCCTTACTTGCTTAAGGCCGTTATCTGAGTTTTTTGGTTTGTTTTTTTGCTTTTGTCTTCTGAGCCCAGCAAACTCTCTGGAGCCTCATTAAGTTCCATGTGTAAGAGACACAGGCCTCCTGTGTGAATTCATTCTTAACGGTCAACGTTTCTTTACAGCGAGACAGGAACATGGATAAGTTAACTTTCAAAGCAAAGCTACCAACTGTCCTATTACATGTATTTTCAGAATGCACAATATAAAAATTATTTTCTGTATGACTAATCATTTTTCTCCTAGTGATTCTAGCACCTGCATGTAATGTAATGATAGAAATATAAGGATTCGTTTCTGGGAGACACTGAGCTAGCTCTTGACAACTGTATGTATGTATTTGCTTGTGCTTCCACAGCAAATTGTTTGGGTTGCATTTCTGTGTGTGTGTCTAAGTGTTCCATTTCTGTAAGTCAGTGTCAGATGTCACCAATTAACCAGATGTCATTGGTGTTCACTGTGTATCTGCTATGCTCCACAGCTCTAGTTGAAGAACCTCCCAGAGAGGTAGTATTGAGGACAAGTGGTGACACGAGCTTGCAAGGAAGCTTCTCGTCTCAGTCAGTCCAAATGTCTGCCTCTAAGCAGGAGGCCTCCTTCAGCAGTTTCAGCAGCAGCAGTGCTAGCAGCATGACCGAAATGAAATTTGCAAGCATGTCTGCCCAAAGCATGTCCTCCATGCAAGAGTCTTTTGTAGAAATGAGTTCCAGCAGTTTTATGGGAAAATCTAGTATGACACAACTGGAAAGCTCAACTAGTAGGATGCTTAAAGCAGGCCTAAGAGGTGAGCAATCAAATTACTGGTAGAGGTAGACAAGCCTAGTAGCATGGTAGAGTCCTTAGTACATACAATTCAGTAGAAAGCAAACTGTTATATTTTCAGTGATCCTAAAACTTTTTTGTTGTTGTTGTTCCATAAAGGAATTCCACCTAAAATTGAAGCTCTTCCCTCTGACATCAGCATTGACGAGGGCAAAGTTTTAACAGTAGCCTGCGCTTTTACGGGTGAGCCTACCCCGGAAATAACATGGTCCCATGGTGGAAGAAAAATTCAAAATCAAGAACAGCAAGGGAGATTCCATACTGAAAACACAGATGACCTGACAACTCTGATCATCATGGATGTACAGAAACAAGATGGTGGACTTTATACCCTGCGCTTAGAGAATGAATTTGGATCTGACTCAGCTACTGTGAATATAAATATTCGATCCATTTAAGAGGGCCTGTGCTCTCATATTCAGACATTCTTAACCTTTCCTGAACGATTCACATAGACTAATCTTTCTGATCTGTAAATACTTAAAAAAAAAATGTAGTTTTGTATCAACCTAAATGAGTCGAAGTTCAAAAATATGCATTTCAATCTTTTCTTAATTGTTGACCTAAGATTATACATTTTCTAGTGACATGTACATACTGTATATAGCCGAATTAACGGTTATAAAGTTTTGTACCATTTATTTTATGACATTTTACAATGTAACTGTTGAAACTAACTGTTGGTAGGAGAAAGTTTCTTATGGAACGAATACCCTGCTCAACACTTAATCAATCTTTGTGCCTCAACATAATGTTGATGTCTAAGTAAGCCTCAATGGGTCGAGAAATTCCCCATTGAAGATGTCCTATCCACCGACATGATGCTGTGCACGTCACCTGATATGTGCACCAATACTTACTGAATCAGAAATGTAAGGCATTGGTGATGTTTGCATTTACCCTCCTGTAAGCAACACTTTAACGTCTTACATTTTCTCTGATGATGTCACACTCAAAATGATCATGACTTAAATATTACCAGAGCAAAGTGCAACGGCCAACACTTTGTTCGCTCATTTCACACTGTCTCTGACCATAGAGAGTGCCTGGGTAGCTTGGAAAAGCAACATCACCTGGCCATCCCCTCATTTAACCAAGCTGTTCATGCGTTCCTATGCCAGAGCAGTGCCAACTCTTGGAGGTCCCGGGGTGCAGCCAACGCCTTCGTGTGGTAGCTCTAAATTTAAATTACACCAGAGAAACCGGGGCAACTAAGCAATGAGCCACAGCAAAAAATAAAGAACAACAACAACAAAATAAAGCTGTCGTTAAATTAAAAACAACAAAATATTACTAACTGCCCAAAATATCAATTTGATGTAGTTCTTTTCATGCAGGTTTAAATTCAATTGTTAGTTATAATTGTTGGACCTCCTTGAGATAGTAACAACAAAATAAAGCAAGCTATCTGCACCTCAAAATTTGTGATTGGTTGTTTTCTGTAAAATTCTGGGGTTGGGGAGGTATGTGCCTTTGCAAATCACAGAAATGATCATAGATAAGAAGAAGCAACTCAAGTTCTTCACAGCAAATATTTAAATTACCATGTTGAATGCATTCCACAATTTTTTTAAAGCATAGATATGATTCTCATGGATAAAGTTACCCCCAAAAGTTAACAAAAATCCCCCAAAGTATTAGATCAAATCTTCTAAACTTATTATCAAGAAAAATATTTTTATGGGAGCTGATTCGTTAAATCCAAAGATATTGAACATTACAATTCACGATATTTTGTGCCAGACAGCAAAGCAAAGATGAGCAAGATGAAATAGACCCTGTCCCTCAAGGAGTATAGAAAAGAATATGACAATTTCAGGGAAAATGATCAATTGTGCAACTGAATCCATTACTGACTATTGCAGCTCCAAACTGAGACAGAACAAATCAAAGTCCTCAAAGCTAAAGAACTCGTTTTAAATGGTATAGTCCTACTAGGCTTTTCAAAACAACTTCATAATAAAATCTCTAGCACCAGAAAAATCTGTATTTATCCACCTCAATTAGATAATCCTAACTGTAAACCTATAAAGTCGATTCTTTGCCTAAATTACCCCCTAAATGTAAGTACAAGCAGCCAAAGCTGAAGCAAATGCACTGTCAATTCTTACTCCCCCAAAGAAGATCTTGGGTCTTCGTTAATTTATTCAGCAAGTATTCTGTCTTAAGTCAGATGCCCTAAAGGCAGAGCCTAAGACTTGACTCTAGCATAAGTAATTTTTTGAGGGACTGCTCTCAGGAAAAAGGAAGTGAGGGAAGCAGAGTAGAGGAAGAAAGCTAAGCAAGTATGTGGTCTCCGCGGGAGCTTCAGCCGCATCCCACAGGGAGCATAAATTGCACCAGAGTTGGTTCCACCTGGGAGCAAGGGCGCTGACCTTCTCTACCTGCTTATCTGCCAGTTAGTGCCTACAGGCTGGGAGCTTGTGGGAGCGGCGGCGGGAAGAGGGAAATAACCTCCGGGGTGAGGGGCACCCCTTGGCCAGAGCAATCTCTGCAGACTAGAGCAGCTAAACAGCCAATACACAAGAAACTGGGCCGGGTACACATCACCTGGATCTGGGAGGTACGCACAGCACCCACTACACCATCTAACAGCTTGAAATGCCAGTTCTTACCTTAAAACGAGAGAGGCAGGGATTCCTGAGGATGACTCCCAGCCCTGACAGGCTGATGTTCTAAGGAGTCCTATCCGTGGCTGGGGCGCAGTCCGTGCTGCTCAGAATTCTGAAGCTGAAGGAACTGTAGCTGCAGCTCCCAAATCCAGAGATCCATTTTGGGCCTGGGAGAAAGGGGAGGGGCTAAGGCCTATCCCGGGAAGGAAATCCACGCCACGCCGAGAGGCCTGACTTCTTTTCAACCAGTAGCAGAAGCCCACGCCTCTGAGAGCAGCAGGGTGTGGCCAAGGGGGTCACACGTGAGAGGACTGCGTAGGGAGGATCCTGGGAAGGCCCTCAGAGGCCCTCCGGCTGGAACTACAAGCACCCCTTTCCGGGTTTACCAGCCAGCCTCCCTCCGAGAGCGCCTCCAATAACGGCGCTCCCCCGCGTAGGGTGGGTGGGGATTCCTGTCAATCCCACCCCACCTCCAACAGCACCAGGAATGCCTTCCCAGCAACTTTGCATTTCCGGTCCAGACCACCTTGTCTCTCTCCCCCCTGTCGGCAGGGGCCGCCAGAGAGCAGCAAGCAGACACCTTCTTCCTGGTTCAACCCTCCAATCCACAAAACCTATGAGTAATCTTCACTCTCTTCCTGCCCCTCTTTCTGCTGAATCCTTCCTGTCTATTTTATAAAGCCCCCACTTGGCTACACTCATAAGCAGCATAGTGTAGGAATTATATATACGCACTCAAAACCCAGAGTACCAACCCAAATCCAGGATCTGCTATTTGCTAACTTGTGTCACCTGGAGTAATTACTGACCTTCTCTATCCCTTGATGTTCTCACCCATAAGATGGGAATAACAACAGCATCAACCTCACAGGTTTTGTGAGGATTAAACAAATTACTACATGTGAAACTCTTAGAGCAGTGCTGCCACAGCACCCAATAAACACCAGCAATCAGTATTATATTAGAGACCACCATGCAAAACATCGAAGTTAGGGACCAGAAAAACATTTTAGAGGGGGTGTAACACAGACCTCACTTGTAATCACTAGATGTATTATTTTGCTAGGGCTGCTAGAACAAAGTACCACAACCCTGCAGGGCGGCGGGGAGGAGGCTAGGAGTCCTAAATGAAAGTGTCAACAGGACTGGTTCCTTCTGAGAGTTGTTAGGGAAGGATCTGTTCCAGGCCTCTCTGCTTGACTTGTAGATGGCCACCTGTTCACATAGCATTCTCCCTGCATGCATGTGTGGGTCCAAATATCCCCTGTTTAGGACATCAGCAATATTGGATTAGGTTTCACACTAATTTTACCTTATTTTAACTTTATTGTCTGTGTAAAGACTATCTCCAAATAAGGTCACATCCTGAGGTACCAGAGTTTAGGACCCCAACATATCTGTGGGAAGGGGTACACAGCTCAACCCATAACACTAGACATGATGGGCATGAGACAGCACATCTTTAAAAGAAGTCTTTTGGTAGAGTTTCTCAAAAGATGAATTTATTATCTCTAACCAGTAGTAGCCAATTATATAGATGAACCATCTAGAGGTAGGGAGGTAGGTAAATCAGAAACAGCCAGTAAAATAACAGGTTAAATTGACAGTCTCCATAGTGAGACATTATTCTTCAAGAAAAATGTTTTATGATTGTGCTCCAGGAAAAGAAAGTAATTTGTATTTGTTTATTCAGCCCCAAATGTAATTTTAAGAAATTCGGGCCGAGAAAACCCAGTTTCCTTGTAATAGGAGAAAACAGTGTCTGCTAGGTAAATAGAAGGACTTTTGCAAGAGAGATTGGCCGCCCTTTTCTGGTGGTGCAGTGGTTGAGAATCCGCCTGCCAATGCAGGGGACACAGGTTCGAGCCTTGGTCCACGAAGATTCCACATGCCGCGGAGCAACTAAGCCCTTGCATCACAACTACTGAGCCTGCGCTCTAGAGCCCGCGTGCCACAACTACTGAAGGCCGCGTGCCTAGAGCCCGTGCTCCACAACAGGAGAAGCCATTGCAATGAGAAGCCCGCGCACTTCAACGAAGAGTAGCCCCCGTTCGCCACAACTAGAGAAAGCCTGCACACAGCAACGAAGACCCAAAGCAGCCACACACACACAAAAAATCAATGGGCCAATCTATTTTCTTTTTTCTAAATAAATTTATTTATTTAATTTATTTTTGGCTCCGTTGGGTTTTCGGGCTTCTGATTGCAATGGCTTCTCCTGTTGTGGAGCACGGGCTCTAGGCACGCGGGCTTCAGTAGTTGTGGCACGCGGGCTCAGTAGCTGTGGCTCACGGGCTCTAGAGCGCAGGCTCAGTAGTTGTGGCGCAAGAGCTTAGTTGCTCTGCAGCATGTGGGATCTTCCCGGACCAGGGCTCGAACCTGTGTCCCCTGAATTGGCAGGCAGATTCTCAACCACTGCACCACCCAGGAAGACCTGGCCCATCGATTTTTATTCTAAGGTTATAAAAATAGTTTTATGCCTTTTGGTATGTCTGGGTCAATGTTTCCCAAACTCTTCCTCAAGATGTTGGTAGATATTATGGGAAAATTGTCCCACAGCCAAATAACTTAGGATTTGGGAAACCGTACTTCTTTATGCAGGACTTCCCAGAGCCTTTGATGAGCTAGTGTGTGTTGTGGTCCTCCAAGAGGCGATACAATGCTCCCCGAACTTATCTGATGATGGAACTGTTTTCACTGGTACTGTACATGATGTAGGCTGAGACAGGCCACAGTAGGTGGAAACATGGGAGGTGTGAAGAGGATTGGATCTTGGTAGAGGAGGAACTGGGTATCACCTAAGAAATGAAATTAAGTGCTATGATAAAAAAAGAAAAATCCGGGGCTTCCCTGGTGGCGCAGTGGTTGAGAGTCCGCCTGCCGATGCATGGGACACAGGTTTGTGCCCCGGTCCGGGAGGATCCCACATGCCGCGGAGCGGCTGGGCCCACGAGCCATGGCTGCTGAGCCTGCGTGCCCGGAGCCTGTGCTCCGCAATGGGAGAGGCCACAACAGTGAGAGGCCCACGTAACACAAAAAATATAAATAAATAAAAATTTAAAAAAAGAAAAATCCAAGGCGTTTGAGAGCACATTGCTAGGGCATCTGATCCAGTCAGAGAATTGAGGAACAGTCAGATTAGAGGAAGTTACATGTAGAAGCTGTGACCTAAAGTGTGGGGTGAACTGAGGAGATAAGGAGGAGCTTTCAGGCAGAGGATCCTTGCGCCTGCAGAGGTCTGGGGCAAGGAGAACACGACACATTCAAAAAAGTAGAAAAAGTTAATAAGGGGGTGCAAGAACCTCTGAAGGGCTGGAGGTGAGAAGCAGGGCAACGTTGCACAAGGCCTCTTACACCCTATTATGGACTTTGGGCTTTTCTCTAAGAGGTAAGGGGAACCATGAAAGAGATTTAAGCAAACTAGTTACTTGATCAAATTTTACTTTTACAAAGTATTTAGCTATTCTGAGAAAACTATGACATGTATTTGCCATTCTATGCCCAAAAGCTTATTTCCTCCCAGCAGACTCCACTCATAGGAAGACCTTCACCTATGACCAAATTTATAACCCATAATGTCCCTGTAATTACCGTTCCTAGGCTTTATAGCCATCCGTGGAAAGGTCTTTCCTAAGAATGTCTGGGGACTTAGGGAAACATGTAATAAAGCCAGACTGGTAGACTCTCCAGGTAAAGGAAAAGGTGTGGGAGAGGGGGTGACTTGTGGAGACAGGAGGGCAACTTACTGCCGCAATTCTTCTCGGTGACAATGACCACTGCTGTGGAACTGCAACGGAGGTAGAAGAATCTGGCCCAAAAAGCCAAGTTCTGATGATGCAATGTCAGGAATGTGGCTCCTGGGGACGACTCCCACTTACTCCTGCTCCATTTTAAGAAAAGGTGGGAAGCAGGTAAGAGGAGTGGGCAGGTATGCCAACGCTTTCCAATCTGTCAGGAAATCACTGCAAAAGATAGCATGTCCTAAAAGTGAGGATTCCAAACCTAAAATTCATGCTTATCCTAGAATCTTTAGGGGGTCCCTGAGCTCCCTGAGATTATGCATATATTTTTTCTCTTTTTTTTAAGGGACATTGTTCCTAGTTTTCATTTCATTTTTAAAGATGCCAATGATTCAAAAAGTTTAAGAGATACTGCCCTACACATTTCAGAGAGGGAACCAGCAGATAGATGCCAAAGCCATCTCAGAAGTATCTACAGGCCCGCGTTTCCGCAGAGCTGGAACTCCCGGCTCGGGGTCTCTTCCCTCCGCCATCACGGAACTGCCCCGGAGCCTAAGGGGAGGGCGACCTCACTGAGGCTGCCGGCTCTGGAGGGGCCCCGGCGGCCGAAGCCCTGACAGTCGAGCGGACGGCGGGCCGGAATCATCGTACCTAAATCCACTCATTATGCTGCTACTGGCCTTATGACATTGATTTCACGGCTGAGTGATATTCCATTACACACCAGAAATACATCTACACGTAGAACAACTCATACAGAACACCTACTGAACGCTGGCAGAAGACCTCAAACCTCTCAAAAGGCAAGAAACTCCCCCACGTACCTGGGTAGGGCAAAAGAAAAAACAATAAACAGAGACAAAAGAATAGGGACGGGACCTGCACCAGTGGGAGGGAGCTGTGAAGGAGGAAAGGATTCCACACGCTAGGAAGCCCCTTCGCGAGCGGAGACTGCGGGTGGCGGAGTGGAGGCGCGGAGGAGAGCGCAGCCACAGGGGTGCGAAGGGCAAAGCGGACAGATTCCCGCACAGAGGATCGGTGCTGACAGGCACTCACCAGCCCGAGAGGCTTGTCTGCTCACCCGCCGGGGCGGGCGGGGCTGCGAGCTGAGGCCCGGGCTTCCAACGGAGCGCAGAGAGAAGACTGGGGTTGGCGGCGTGAACACAGCCTGCAGGGGTTAGTGCACCACGGCTAGCCGGGAGGGAGTCCAGGGAAAAGTCTAGACTTGCCGAAGAGGCAAGAGACATTTTCTTCCCTCTTTGTTTCCTGGGGCGCGAAGAGAGGGGATTAAGAGCGCTGCTTAAAGGAGCTCCAAAGACGGGCGCAAGCCGCGGCTAACAGCGCGGACCCCTGACACGGGCATGAGACGCTAAGGCTGCTGCTGCCGCCACCAAGAAGCCTGTGTGCGAGCACAGGTCACTATGCACTACCCCCTTGCGGGGAGCCTGTGCAGCCTGCCACTGCCAGGGCCCCGTCATCCAGGGACAACTTCCCCGGGAGAACGCACGGCGCGCTTCAGGCTGGTACAACGTCACAACAGCCTCTGCCGCCGCAGGCTCACCCCGCATCCGAACCCCTCCGCTCCCCGGCCTGAGTGAGCCAGAGCCCCCGAAGCAGCTACTCCTTTAACCCCATCCTCTCTGAGCGAAGAACAGACGCCCTCCGGCGACCTACACGCAGAGGCGGGGCCAAGTCCAAAGCTGAACCCCGAGAGCTGGGAGAACAAAGAAGAGAAAGGGAAATCTCTCCCAGCAGCCTCAGAAGCAGCGGATTAAAGCTCCACAATCAACTTGATATACCCTGCATCTGTGAAATACATGAATAGACAACGAATCATCCCAAATTGAGGAGCTGGACTTTGAGAGCAAGATTTATTATTTTTTCCCCTTTTCCTCTTTTTGTGAGTGTGTATGTGTATGCTTCTGTGTGAGATTTTGTCTGTATAGCTTTGCTTTCACCATTTGTCCTAGGGTTCTGTCCGTCCGTTTTTTTTTTTTTTTCTTTTCTTTTCAAAAAATTTTTTTCTTAATATTTTTTAAGGTGGGAGAGCCAACTTCAGGACACTGGTCCACAAGAGACCTCCCAGCTCCACATAATATCAAACGGCAAAAATCTCCCAGAGATCTCCGTCTCAACACCAGCGCCCAGCTTCACTCAACGACCAGCAAGCTACAGTGCTGGACACCCTATGCCAAACAACTAGCAAGACAGGAACACAACCCCACCCATTAGCAGAGAGGCTGCCTAATATCATAATAAGTCCACAGACACCCCAAAACACACCACCAGACGTGGACCTGCCCACCAGAAAGACAAGATCCAGCCTCATCCACCAGAACACAGGCACCAGTTCCCTCCAACAGGAAGCCTACACAACCCACTGAACCAACTGTAGCCACTGGGGACAGACACCAAAAACAATGGGAACTACGAACCTGCAACCTGCAAAAAGGAGACCCCCCAAAACAGTAAGATAAGCAAAATAAGAAGACAGAAAAACACACAGCAGATGAAGGAGAAAGATAAAAACCAACCAGACCTAACAAATGAGGAAATAGGCAGTCTACCTGAAAAAGAATTCAGAATAATGATAGTAAAGATGATCCAAAATCTTGGCAATAGAATAGAGAAAATGCAAGAAACATTTAACAAGGACATAGAAGAACTAAAGATGAAACAAGCAACGATGAACAACACAATAAATGAAATTAAAAATACTCTAGATAAGATCAATGGCAGAATAACTGAGGCAGAAGAACGGATAAGTGACCTGGAAGATAAAATAGTGGAAATAACTACTGCAGAGCAGAATAAAGAAAAAAGAATAAAAAGAACTGAGGACAATCTCAGAGAACTCTGGGACAACATTAAACATACCAACATTCGAATTATAGGGGTTCCAGAAGAA